TGCCATGAATTAAGATTTAACTGTCATTTTACATTATTAAAACTGAAATACAAATTTATTTCCTCTGTAATTTCTATAATTAAATTATCCTATTTAAAAACTTACTGGAGAAACACACAGCACAATCTGAAACTGCGTTGAGGGCCATGATATTGTACTTACTTTTATGATTCCTAAAACCATAATGAGGATGCCTTTGCATATCCTGTCAACTGTTCTTTTCATGTCTACCTTGAATTTTTAATTCTGCAACATATCTGCTCTCTCTGGTGATATTCCCTTCTTCTCATAGTATGCGTCCCTTCTGCACTCAAATCTATGTATATATAAAAGCCTAAGTGACTGTTACTACTGGTTGTCTGAACGACTGGTCCACTGGTTGCTATGATACCCACTGACCACCAAGGGGCAGATGCTCAATGCAGGAGCTGCTCCCTGGTGGTCAGTGCACTCCCAGGGCCAACCTCCCGCTGCTGGCCTACCTCCCACAGTCCCTCCCCTTGGCCAGCTCCTATCGGCCCCAATTGGGACTGGGCAAGATGGCCAAAATCAGCCCCAATCACTGGCCAGGCCGAGTGATGCCACCTGTGCGCGAATTCGTGCACCATACCTCTAGTAATTTAATAACTAAACCTATCTGTGTCACTGTTTAACGATGCCAGTAATTATCTTGATTTGGCTTATGTTTCTTTCTCTTTTTTTAGTTATAAAAGATATCACATATACAAAATGTTTGTATGATTTAAAGAAGAAGCTGGGTAATCCTGTGTTTATCACTCATAGAAACACAATGGCATCTTTCCCATGTCTGGGGAGCCCCCACCTGGCTTCCTTTCTGCTTATTGGCTGAATTCTTAAGTTTGCTCCTTGATTCTCTCAGTGTGTTTCCTCTCACTTTACTGTCTTTCTCTATATTATAACCCTTTCACTTTCTTAACATTGTGCTAGCAAAGATCTCTTCTTAAAACCGTCTTGAAGAGACTATTACACATTATCTCTCTGATTTCCTTTCTTCTAAATCCCTGCCTCTTTCTGGTTTCCCCTTCCACTCAGACTTCAAAGATTCTTCTTTCCTGCTTCTCCTTCTGTTTTGAATGATCTCCTCGATGTTGGTAATTTTCTTCCTCCTTGTAGACTATTGTCAGTAGGTACCAAAAGGTATTTTTGTGTCTTTTCAAAACATTCACATGTAATTATGGTTTTCTTTTTCACTTTGGATACTGATTTCTGGTTTCTAGTTGATATTTAATAATAGATTAATGTTTTATATTAACATAGTCAAATAAATATTAATAACTTGTTTATAAGGACTCTATGTAGTTACAATATTAACTATATATCCATATCACATATGTCATGACTTTTTTCAGTTTATTTACAGAACATTATAATTTAGCTAGTATGCTTTCAGACAATATTAGATTAGAACAAATGAGAGCATCATAATTTATAGATTTGCTTATTTTATATGATTTTATAAACATAATATCTGTTTAAAATAATAATTAAATATTTATTCTTAAAGAATTTGACATACTCATTTTGTGTATTTCTTCAGAATTAAGGAACATTTAAAAGTTATAAAAAAGAAATTAAATGAATGTGATCATGAAGACCTTAGTTTCCCTGGAGATTCAAAACCAAGTCCAGCTGACATGGAAATTCAGTCTGAAAAGCCAAAACAGAAGGTAATTTTAAATCAGTTTTGTGACCTAAAATTCACCTAATTTGGGGAAATAGATATCATTCAATGCTTTAAGTAGTGAAATATAGGTTTTTCTGTTAATTTTATAGACTTGGTATCAGCCTTTTCTTTATCACTTTTCTATAAAAAGGGCCTACTGTTAACTCTCTATGTCAGCGGTTCTCAACCCCTTTGGCAGTTGAACGACCCTTTCACAGGGTTCGCCTGAGACCATTCTGCATATCAGATATTTACATTACGATTCATAACAGTAGCAACATTACAGTTATGAAGTAGCAACGAAAATAATTTTATGGTTGGGTCACAACATGAGGAACTGTATTTAAAGGGCCAGAAGGTTGAGATCCACTGCTCTATGTCTTGAACCCTGGCACCAGCACCAAGTCCAAAAAATTTTTGGTGGCAGCTTTACTGAGTCATAATGAACATACCATGCAGTTCACTCATTTAAAGTGTACAGTTCAGCCCTGACTGGTTTTGCTCAGTGGATAGAGCGTCGGCCTGCGGACTGAGGAGTCCCAGGTTCGATTCCGGTCAAGGGCATGTACCTTGTAGGGTGTGTGCAGGAGGCAGCTGATCGATGTTTCTCTCTCATCGATGTTTCTAACTCTCTATCCCTCTCCCTTCCTCTCTGCAAAAAATTAATAAAATATATTTAAAAAATAAATAAAGTGTGCAGTTCAGTGCCTTTTTCTGTATTCAAAGAGTTACACAGTCATCATCACAGTCAGTTTGGGGAAATTTTCATCCCCCTAAGAAGTAGCCTTGTGCCCTTTACCAACCATCCTGTGCCAGCTTCCACTTCCCCCCTCTTCCTGGCCCTCAGGAACACTACTGTCCTCTCAGTCTCTCTAGATTTGTCTGTTCTGCACATTATATATCAGTGGAATCACACAGTAGGTGCTCCTTTGTGACTGCCTTTTTTATGTAGCGTAATGTTTTCAAGGCACATCTCTTTTGTCGCACGTATCACCAGTACTTCATGCCTGTTTATTGCTGAATAGCGTTTCATTGCATGAAGCGACCACATTTCTTAAAATCTATTCATCATTTGATGAACCTTTGGGTTACTTCCACTTTTTGGTGGTGTTACTAATTCTGCTATGAACATTCATGTCCAACTTTTTTTTTTAAACGTATTTTCAGTTTATTTACGCTGCACGTTTTTTTAAATATATTTTTTATTGATTAAGATATTACATATGTGTCCTTATCCCCACGCTACCCTCTACTCCCCCCTCCCCCCGCTCATGCCCTCACCCCCCTGTTGTCCATGTCCATTGGTTAGGCCTATATGCTTGCATATAAGTCTTTTGGATGATTTTCCCCCTTACCCCCACCCTCCCCTACCTTCCCCCCAAGGCCCGACAGTCCAATCAATGCCTCTCCGTCTCTGGATCAGGCCTTGTTCATCAGTTTATGTTGTTCATTATATTCCACAAATGAGTGAGATCATGTGGTATTTATCGGCTCTCCAGTTCCATCCATGCTGTCGCAAATGGTAAGAGTTCCTTTTTCTTCTTTCTCTTCTTAAAGAATACCTTTCATCATTTCATATAATGCTGGTTTGGTGGTAATGAACTCCTTTAGCTTTTTCTTATCTGTGAAGCTCTTTATCTGACCTTCTATTCTGAATGATAGCTTTGCTGGATAAAGTAATCTTGGTTGTAGGTTCTTGGCATTCATCACTTTGAATATTTCTTGCCACTCTCTTCTGGTTTGCTTGGTTTCTGTGGAGAAATCAGCTGACAGTCGTATGGGTACTCCCTTGTAGGTAACTGACTATCTTTCTCTTGCTGCTTTTAAGATTCCCTCTTTGTCTTTTGCTCTTGGCATTTTAATTATGATGTGTCTTGGTGTGGTCCTCTTTGGGTTCCTTTTGTTTGGGGTTCTCTGCACTTCCTAGACTTGTAAGTCTATTTCTTTGACCAGGTAGGGGAAGTTTTCTGTCATTATTTCTTCAAATAGGTTTTCAATATCTTGCCCTCTCTCTTCTTCTCGTAGCCCTATAATTCTGATGTTGGTACACTTGAAGTTGTCCCAGAGGCTCCTTACACTATCTTCATGTTTTTGGAATCTTTTTTCTTTTTTCTTTTTCAGTTGGGTATTTTTTGTTTCTTCGTATTTCAAATCTTTGACTTGATTCTTAGGATCCTCTTGTCTGCTGTTGGATCTCTGTATATTATTCTTTATTTCAGTCAGTGTATGCTTAATTTCTAGTTGGTCTTTTTTCATATCCTCCAGGGTCTCACTAAATTTATCGGCGGTTTCCATAAAATTCTTGAAAAACCTTATAAACATGGCCTTGAACTCTATATCCAGTCATTTGCTTTCCTCCGTTTCTGTCATTTGTGACCTGTTTCTTTGTCTTCACATTTTTTATGCTACCCTGTGTTGGTACAGTGGTTTTGTGTGCTAAGTGTCCTGTAGGGCCCAGTGGCTCAGCCTCCCCAGTTACCTGAGGTGGACACTCTTGGTGTACCCCCTTGTGGGCTTTTTTCACAGTCTTATTGTAGTTATGCCTTGATTGTTTTAGGATCACTGGGAGGAATTGACCTCCAGGCCAGTTGGCAGTGAGAATCAGCTGTGTCTGCAGTGAGAGAACTTCTGTGCTGGAGACACTCTTCTGGGAAAAGACTTGCTTCAGTGGGGCTTTGGTACTCACTGAGTCTGCGCCCTGAGTGTGTCCCTTATGGATCTGAGGAGTTGTCATCTGGCTGGTCCCCCTCTGACCACTGGGCACACTGGCTCTTGGATCTAAGGAGGTGCTAATTTAGTCTCTGCCTGAGGTTACACAGCAGCAGCTATGAAGAGAACTGCAGATTCCCCTTCCTTTTTTGGGGTTTGGAGGTGCCCAGATGAGGCCCAGCTGTGAAGCAATACAAGCTGCCCTGGAGCCTTGGGCCTTTTCTTGGAAGTTCTGGGTCTGTCTGGCCCAGCTGCAGTTTGTTAGGTAATTTTCAGGTTGCAAAGGGCCAGGGCATTCATATGAAAAAGCCTCTGCCGCATCCTGGGTGGGGCAGGGTCTCAGGGAATCAAGGGGCGGAGCAAGAAGCTATGGCTGGTCCTCAGCCCTTCCCTAAGGGGCCGCGCATCTCAGTGTCCCGATAATTGCTGCAAGCACCTCTGAGGGAAAGCCGCTATCAAGTTCAGAGTTCTGCCTGCTGCCAGAGAGTCCAGTTTCTCCCTGTATGAGTCCTGGGTCCCCAGAGACTTCTGGGAACCAGAGTTCAGAGCAGTCGGGAGCTTGTGACTCCCTCTGGATTCAAAAAGACAGCCGCGTCCTCAGGTGCCAGTCCCTTTCCGAGCGTACGAGCCTCCGTACCTCTGCACTTTACTTCCACACCTCCTCTGGCTCTCAGTGTGTTTTTCTCTTTCCTTCTAGTTGTAGAATTTCCACTCAGCAAGCCTTCCTGTAGTTCTGGATGATGTGCGTTTTGTCTTTTTGTTGTATTTTTGAAGTTGTTGTGGGAGGCAGCAATTTCCCAGTGTTTATCTATGCCGCCATCTTAGTTTCTCTCCATGTCCAACTTTTTATGTGAACATATTGTTTTCATTCTCTTGGGAATATAATTATAAATGGAATTGCTTGATCAGATCTTCAACCTTTTGAGAAACTGCCTGATTGTTTTCCACAGTGGCGGCACCATTTGCATTTAATTGATGGTGTATGAGGGTTCCAATTTCTCCATATTCTTGCCAACATTTGTCATTACTTTTTCTTTTTTATTGTGGCCATCCTAGTGGGTGTGAAGTGGCATCTTATTATTGGTTTTGATTTGCAATTTTCTAATGACTAGTGATGTTCACCATCTTTTGACATGTATATATTCTTTGAAAAACTATTCAATTCCTTTGCCCATTTTTAATTGGATTGTTTTTGTATTATTGAATTGTAAGAGTTCTTTAAATGTCCTACATACAAATCCCTTATTAGATAAAGGATTTTCAAATATTTCTTCCATTCAGTAGCTCACCCTTTCAGTTTCCTGATAGTGCCTTTCAAAGCACAGACAATTTTGATTTTGATGAAGTCAGTTAATCTCTTTTTGTTTCACATCTAAACTTGAAGAAAGGCAGAGGCGACATTGTATTTAAACGGTGCCAAAGCCAGTCATGAAGATATACACCTACGTTTTCTTCTAAGTCTTTTATACTTTTAGCATTTACATTTTAAGTTAACTATTATGTATGGTCTGAGATAGAGGTCAAATTTTATTCATTTGCATGTGGATATCCAGCTGTCCCAGGACAATTTGCTAAAAAGACTATTCATATCTGATTTATTTGTTTGGTACCCTTGTCAAAAAGCAGTTGGCCCGAAATTGGGTTAAGGTTTGGATTCTCCCTTCAAATTCAATGATGAATAAGTCTGTCCTTATGCCAGTACCAATTCAAATTTTAAGAGTATCTTTCCCAGTTATCTTGTATAGTACTAGCTGCTTTATGTAATAAAAAAAAAGTCAGTGTAGTGGAATGTTTTTACCTCTACTTTTATGGAGATTTCTTGTTTCTTGATAAAGCTTATGGCCAGCTTATGTTTTGCTGACTCTGTGACATGATGGGAAAGTAGGCTTACAAAGATAACACCCATTCCTTTTTTTTCTGCATTCAAACCTTCAGCCTCTAACTCAGTGCCTCCCACTTCACTTCCATTTCCATGAAATCCTAGTAACAGAATCTGCTGACTTACCCATTTCCTTCATTGTGTTTAACTCATAATTCATAGACGCTGGTAGGTGTCACTGCCTAGGGAGGAGAAGATTAAGATTAAAATCTGGACTGTCGCCTTTCCTCTTTAGAAATGCCTGACTTGAAGTCTCAAATTTTATTTTATTTTTAAATATATATATATATGTATATACATATATATATATGTATATACATATATACACACACACATATATATATATACACACATATATTTATTTATTTATTTATTTATTTATTTATTTCAGAGGGGAAGGGGAGAGAGAGAGAGAGAGATCAATGATGAGAATCATTGATCGGCTGTCTCCTAAATGCCGCCTACTGGGGATTGAGCCCGCAACCCAGTAATGTGCCCTTGACCTGAATGGAACCCATGACCCTTCAGTCTGCAGGCTGCTGCTCTATCCACTGACCCAAACCAGCTAGGGCTGAAATCTCAAAAGTTTAAAGCCAATTTGTTTCCTATGGAGAAACACTGTGGTATAACCTACAAGCAAGCTTGAAGTAAGCTAGAGAAATTGTATTTAAATGGTACCAAAAGGCATTGCAGTTGTTTTGCCACTGAGATTTAAAATGATTTCATAATCCTCTCTATCTCCTCACTGAGGAAAGGAAAGCTTAGTCCTGACCTTGGAGTGCTTCTCTGTGGCCCTTGGCTGTTCCCTCTGAGACTTGCTCTGTCCTTTTCATAAGAAATGGCCTGTGCTTGCAGCTCTTTTTACAGCCTGCTTCCTCCCTGTGGAACATCTGAGGCCCACAGGCTCTTTTGATTGTGTACTGTCTCGGTCTCCCTTCAGGGGGCCAAGCTAGCATTCTCTTAGGAACTTTGAGTGTCTGTCCAGTTAATTTTATTGGGGTTCATGGCATTAGAAAAGCCACCTCACCACTTGTTTTCAGATCAGCTCTTCACCTGGGCTCCCTGGAGGTGTTGTAGGACAGTGCCGTTAAAATTCTTACATTCTGAAAATCCTTTGAAGCACCACGTAAATGTTTCTGCGGTCTTAAGGGTTTTATAAGTCTTGGCATCATCCTTCGAACATGTTTTCTGGACACCCTGGATTTGATGTTAGCCCAGAAGCCATTTCTTTATGTTAGGATTATTTGACAATTGGACACGTGGGAGAAGGTATAAACAGGAAATCGAGATATTTATTCATTTTAAACCGGTAAATGGGGTCCTTTTATATTTATTTGTCTATTTTTAGCTTATGTTTCTCATCGATTTCACTTTCAGCTGCTTCCTAGCGAGAATCCCTGTCATCTTCCTTTCAGTGCCATTGTGTTCACTTGCCCAGAAGCCCTTGCTGTCAGCCTCCTCAGGGGCCATCAGGCCTCCACTCACCCTTCCTTGGAGGCCCTTTTGGTTTTCATTCTCACGCTTCTCTACATTATGTCGGGTTCCACCTGCCTCCTGTTCAGAGGTGCTCCCATGTGTGTGTTCCTTTTTTAGTGTCAGCACTCTATTTTTAATGTCAGTATCTGTGCCGGTTACTTATTGCTGCTTAGTAACCACCTCCAAACCTCGTGTCTTAAAGCAGCATTTACTTGTTCACAAATCGGCAGTGAGGCCAGCTCATTGCTTTTCCACTTGCCATCAGCTGGGATGACTTGAAGCTGGGAAGTGGAAACATCAAAAGGCTTGTTCATTCACGGGTTTCTCAGCTGCAGCGGGCTTTTGGCTGGGACGCTCGCTGGGGCAGTCTCAGCTGGACACCTGTGTGAGGATGACCATGTGGCTTGGGCTGCTTCCTTCTTCACAACATGGTGGCTGGGTTCCCAGGGTGAGCTTCCCTGGGGAGAGAGTCCGATGGCACCCAGACATAGCAGTCACACAGCAGTCACCATCTCCTATTCACCAGAACCCAGGTAGCACTGAGGCCAGCACCTATTTCATGGACAAGTGCCAGAGAATCTGGAGACGTGCTTCAAAAGCTCAACATCCCTCACCTTGTCTTACCAAATAATCATTGGATTTGAAGGAAAGTAGTTCTTCCCAAGTCATGATCACTGACATTCCAGCAAGTTTGTTTTTGTTGATGATGTTGTTTTTGCTTAATATGTTCTCTTATTTTATGGGAAGTAACAAAGAATTTCAAGATAGCACTATTGGATTAAGCCCCCATCCCCATTTTTTTTTTTTAATTCTAAAAAATGTAGGTCTCATCTCGATAAACTTTTACAGTGAGAGATATAATTTCTCAGTAATGCAGGGATTAATTTCTTTTTGGAATGCAACTCAAATTAGCATCAAACGTTCATAGTTCAATAAAAGATATATGACATTTTAGAGTCTATATTTATAAGATTAATTAATTAGTCTCATTTCGAAAGTCTTATTTTGTGAGGCATTTGTTGACTCAGTCCTGAATATTTGAATACCATATCCCTAAAACTTTTGTGTAAGATTATGAAGTGTTAAGATGGGGGAAGAGATATGAGACTTTCTATTCAGGAGCAATGCATAGTCATTTTGTGAAGGAAAGACATGAAACAGTCATAGAAAAAAAAAGTATAAAATCAAGGACAGAAGAGATGTTGTGTGGCAAAGATGACACCAGTAAATACATTTTTGTGACTCCTGGTTGTTTTAACTTTGGTCTTGATTCTGAGTAATTGAAGGTTTCACATTCTAAGACCATACCAGAGTATAGGTAACATTTTATTGCCACTGAATTCATTTCAAAATTTCATACTGGTGTCCACACCTTCATAACCAAACTATATTCTTTTATTCATGCAGAATGATGAGCTTATAGCAAAACTGCAACCGTCATCTTCAAAATGCATACGTCTGGATGAGGAAAAGACACCTCAACAGGAGTTATCGATGGAAGCACTTCTAAAGCGACGTGAAGAACTGAAGGATAGAGTAAAGAAGGCGAAACAAGAAGCAGTAAACCTCAGAAATATAGAAACGAATATGGTAGAAATCTGTGAATTAGAAGACTATAAAAAGAAGGTTGAAGAAAGAGCAAGACGGGATGTAGAAGACAAAGTAGAAAAAGTCAATTCACTTTTACAGGTTAATTTTTTGATTTATTGTGCTGTAATTCATTTCACTGCAAATTACCTTTTGGATAAATACAGTATTTTTGCCTTTCCTTTGCTCCCTTTAATAGCAATTTATTTTGTAGATTTCTGGAAGGAAGGTGGCATTTGTTTTTCCTTTTCACTATTTTAGTTTCCAACATTATCACTAAATTGATCTTTCCAAATGATCCTTCATTTTAGTTTTAAGATCAGTTGATGTAAAATAAGACTATTAGGAAGAAAAGGTAAAAAAAATGATTTTAAAATTGTACCATACTCTTGAATTAAGTTATATTTTTTAACTTTTAATATCTTACACTGATTCTATTATTCTTTGAATTATCAGATTACATGAGTACTAATAGAAGAATGATTAACTTTATAACTCAGATTTAATTCAGTGGACATTGATGATAACTATTTTAAATTTCAGCTTTTTTCACACTTAAAGCTGATCTCTGAGTTGATGACTCAAAACTAAAGAAAACATATATAAGTGTTCAGCTTATAATTACTTTAAGAATGTATCCTTTTTATTTGCTGTAGAGACAAAGAGCATCTCAAGAAATGTCAGAGCAGATGATAAATGATCAGGCTTCAACAAGTCACTTGGAACTCAGAAATAAAGAGCTGGAATCAGAAATCTCTAAAGTGCAAACTTCTCAAGATGATATCGAAAGAGAATTGGAGAAATATGTGCGACTCTGCCAAGAAGAATTGGAAGGCAGAAAGTTACTGGAAAATCAGCTAACTGAGTAAGTCAAATGCAGAATCAGAGAAAATAAATTTAATTCATTAATTAGCCTCTAAACTTTACACATAGTTACTATTGGGCCAGGTTCATAGATTAGTAGGGCGGGAAAGCCAACTAGGTCGTTTAACTTTGGAAAGTGATGTTAGTAAATAAACTTACCTTTCAAATGTCCCTCTAAGACAGTTTCATCTCTCCCCCTTTGTTTGCTTTTACCTGCCTTTATTTTCCCCGCTTAATATTTCCATGTAGTTATCTGGGGAGGTCTACTACTAGTCTTTAACCTGAGTGTCTTGAAGCTCTAAAATTTAAACAGCGATATTATTATTAAACGAGTGGCACAGTGCACGAAATTGGTGCACAGAGGAGGAGGGATTATCCCTCAGCCCAGCCTGCACCCTCTCCAATCTGGGAACCCTTTGGGGGATGTCCGACTGCCAGTTTAGGCACGATCCCTGTGGGGATTTCCCACAGGGATCGGGCCTAAACCGGCAGTCAGATAACCCTCTCGCAGTCTGGAACCGCTGACTCCTAACTGCTCACCTGCCTGCCTGACTGATAGCCCCTAACCACTCTGTCTGCTGGCCTGCTCGACCTCAGCTGCCCCTCCCCACCAGCCTGATAACCCCAACTGCCCTCCCCTTTTGGCCTGATTGCCCCTAACCACCTTTGTCTTGGCCCCGCCACTATGACTCTGTCCGGACAGACATCCAGAAGGTCTCCCGGTCTAATTAGCATATTACCCTCTTATTAATGTAGAATGAGGCCTGGTGCATGAGTGAGGGCTGGTTGGTCTGCCCTGAAGGGGGTCTCAAATCAGGATGTGGGTCACCTTGGGGGGCGTGGCCAGCCTGGGTGAGTGGCTGGGGTGGTTTGCAGGCCAGCCATGCCCCCATCAGGGTGGGGGACTTCACTGGAGGGTATGGCCAGCCTGGGTGAGGGACTGAAGCCATTTGCAGGCTGGCCATGCCCTCATTGGGGTGAGGGTCCCCACTGGGGGAGCATGACCAGCCTGGGTGAGGGGCTGAGGGCCGTTTGGGGGTGGTTTGCAGGCTAGCCAAGCCTCTGGCTTTGTCAGAAGGTCTTCAGAAGGTCTCCGGTCTAATTAGCATATTACTATTTATTAGTATAATTGCTTGTCAGAAGTCCCCTAAATAGAAATAGCTAAGATAAAAACTTAAACACAAAGGGTTATGGTACTCCAACACATTCTGGTACTTGGTATATTTACTTTCTTGATTGTGAACTTTGTTATTATCAATACACTAGAGGCCCAGTGCATGAAATTGGTGCACAGATCGGGTCCCGAGGCCTGGCCAGCGATGAGGGCCTATCAGGGGGCTGCCAGCCTGGGCCTCCCTTCATTCCTCACCACCCCCTGGTGGTCAGCACACATCATAGCAAGTGATCAAATGCCCAGTCTTCAGTTGAACTCCCAAGGAGACACTTTGCATAACTAGAGGCCCAGCAAGCAAAATCACACAAAACCCAGACCCTCCATGCCGGCAGGACCCCAGGCCCGCCATGTGAGAGTAGCTTGCTGCCTCCGCCGCACAGGCCTCAGACCCCGACTCTGTGCCAAACGGCTGGCGGGCTGGGGGGAGGGACTGAGAGGTGCTCCATGCACCTTCTGGTGATGGGTTAGTTGGTTGTTCTGGCGTTCCAGCATTATGGCCACGGGCCTTTTATAACCCAATGGCACCATACATAATTATTACAATATATTTTTTTAATTAAATCTTTATTGTTCAGATTATTACAGTTGTTCCTCTTTTTTCCGCCCATAGCTCTCCTCCAGCCAGTTCCAACCCCACTCTCTGCCCTTACCCACACCACTGTCCACATCCATAGGTGGACAATTTTTGTCCAGTCTCTTCCAGCAAACCCCACACCCTTCCCCCCAAGAATTGTCAGTCCACTCCCTTTCTATGTCCCTGATTCTATTATATTCACCAGTTTATTCTGTTCATCAGATTATTTATTCACTAGAATTTTAGATTCACTTGTTAATAAATGTGTATTTGTTGTTCATAATTTGTATCTTTACCTTTTTCTTCTTCTTCCTCTTCTTAAAGGATACCTTTAAGCATTTCATTTAATACTGGTTACGTGGTGATGAACTCCTTTAGCTTTTTTTTGTCTGTGAAGCTCTTTGTCTGACTTTCAATTCTGAATGATAGCTTTGCTGGGTAAAGTAATCTTGGTTGAAGGTTCTTGCTATTCATCACTTTGAATATTTCTTGCCACTCTCTTCTGGCCTGCAAAGTTTCTGTTGAGAAATCAGCTGACAGTCATATGGGTAGTCCCTTGTAGGTAACTGACTGTTTTTCTCTTGCTGCTTTTAAGATTATATCTCTGTCTTTTGCTCTTGGCATTTTAATTATGATGTGCCCTGGTGTGGTCCTCTTTGATTCCTTTTGTTTGGGGTTCTCTGTGCTTCGTGGACTTGTAAGTCTATTTCTTTGACCAGGTAGGGGAAGTTTTCTGTCATTATTTCTTCAAATAGGTTTTCAATATCTTGCTCTCTCTCTCTTCTGGCACCCCTATAATTCAGATGTTGGTATGCTTGAAGTTGTCCCAGAGGCTCCTTACACTATCTTCATATTTTTGGATTCTTTTTTCTTTTTCTTTTCCGGTTGAGTGTTTTTTGCTTCTTCGTATTTCTAATCTTTGACTTGATTCTTGCAATCCTCTAGTCTGCTGTTGGAACTCTGTCTAATATTCTTTATTTCAGTCAGTACATGCTTATTTCTAATTGGTCCTATTTCATAACCTCGAGGGTCTCTCTAGATTTCTTGAGGGTCTCACTAAATTTATCGGCAGTTTCTAGAAAATTCGTGAAAAACCTTATAAGTGTGGTTTTGAACTCTATGTCCAGTAGTTTGCTTTCCTCCATTTCTGTCATTTGTGACCTGTTTCTTTGTATCTGCATTTTGGCTGCTTCCCTGTGCTGATAGAGTGGCTTTCTGTGCTAGGTGTCCTATAGGGCCCAGTGGCTCAGCCTCCCCAGTTACCTGAGGTGGACACTCTTGGTGCACACCTTTGTGGGCTTTGTGCACAGTCTTGTTGTAGTTAAGCCTTGATTGTTGTAGGTATCACTGGGAGGAATTGACCTCCAGGCCAGTTGGCTGTGAGAATCAGCTGTGTCTGCAGTGGGAGAGCTTCTGTGCTGGAGACACCCTTCTGGGGAAGGACTTGCATCAGTGGGGCTTTGGTGCTCACTGAGTCTGCCCCCTGAGTGTGTCCCTTATGGATCTGAGGAGTTGTAATCTGGATGGTCCCAATCTGACCAATGGGTACACTGGCTCTTGAATCTCTAGGGAGGTGCTAATTTAGCCTCTGCCAGAGGCTACCCAGCAGGAGCTATGGAGAGATCTGCAGATTCCTCTTCTTTGTTTGGGATTTGGAGGTGCCCAGATGAGGCCCAGCTGTGAAGCAATGCAAGCTGCTGTGGGGCTTTGGGCCTTCTTTTGGAAGTTCTGGGTCTCTCTGACCCAGTTGCATTTTGTTAGGTAATTTTCAGATTGCAAAGGGCAAGGCCTTTCATATGCAAAATCCTCTGCAAACAGCTTGGGTGGGGCAGGGTCTCAGGAGATCAACAGGGCAGAGCAAGCAGCTATGGCTGCTCCTCAGTCCTACCCTAAGAGGCCCCGCATCTCAGTGTCCCGGGTAATCGCTGCAAGCACCTCCGAGAGAAAGCCGCCCTCGAGTTCCGACCGATGCCAGACAGTCCAGTTTCTTTCTGTATGAATCCGGGTCCCCAGAAACTCTCCCAGAACTGGAGTTCAGAGCAGTCGGGAACTTGAGACTCCCTCCCAATTGAAAAAGACAACTGTGACCTCAATTGCCAGCCCTTTCCATGTGCGCCGCGTCCTCAGTTGCCAGCCCTTTTCATTTGCGCCTCCGTACCTCTGCACTTTACTTCCGCACCTCCTCTGAGTCTCAGTGTGCTTTTCTCTTTCCTTCTAGTTGTAGAATTTCCACTCAGCCAGCCTTCCTGTGGTTCTGGATGATGTCCATTTTTGTCAGACATCATCAAAATAATTTTGAAGTGGTTGTGCGAGGCAGCAATTTCTGGTGTTTACCTATGCCGCCATCTTGGTTTCTTCCAGTTTGTTCATGTTTACCTTCACTATGCTTTTTGTATGAAAGCAGAAATCTATGGAACTTTTCATGAAATATGACATATATATGCTTGATAAAAAATTAAATAAACAAATCAGTTAGACTAGAACTTTTATTTTTAGAATTTGCGTGAAATGTTTTATATAATACAGACAAATCGAGCTGCCTTACTAAGGGGGGATGGAGACTCTGAAGCTCTGCAATCCTGCAGGTGTCCAGGGGAAACAGATTCCTATGGGAGAGAGTTTGGGAACTACCAGTTCTGAGAAAAATCCGTCTAATGACAAATCCTTTGAATTGAATGTTGCTGATACATTGTTTTAATGTGTATACTTTTTCCACCTTTTTATATTGTTGAAAATGACACAATAGGAATAAAATGGCAGATGTGTTCTCCTTATTAATGTTGGAACTTCAAGCTCCTTCCACAGTCTGGACACAGTCCTCACCTAGAAATAAGCATAAACATCACAGAAGTAAATATTTAGGAAAGGAGCTTTTGTGGGAACAGATAATAATGTTCCATGGGTAGTTTCTTAATTCAAGTTGTGTAAAAGTGTGATTCACATAATACCTATTTTATTAATGGTGACATAAAATTGATTCAATAAAGGCCTTGGTCTTTATCTAGTATCGACCTATTTATTTTACAAAGTCTGTCTAGTAATGTTGCCACATTATTCATTTAATAAGGCCTGTCTATCATGCTATTGTCATAAGTGTTAATAGAAACAGCCTCCAAAAATACTGGGGAACATGTTAGTCATCAAATTTGTCTTCACACCTGAAATTTGGCATTGGGTATCACATGATAATGATCACCACAGTGTTTAATGCTCAGTATACTATTTTAAACCCTGTTTCAGGCATTGAGTGAAAAGATACCTTTTTTAAGAAAAAGTTTATTAAGAACAC